GGGGATGCTTGGCTCTCCAATGCAGTGTGGCCATTTGGCTATGATATCACACTGCACAGTTTAATGACTGAAATCAGACCTCTTGTTGTTGGAGATGACTGGAGGATTTTTTTTTTCTTTTTTCGTTTTTTTTCCTGAACGTAAGTAGGTAAGCCATGAAGATCCCAGATTTCATTCAGGGACTCGGAACCAGCAGCAAGGAGCAGGCTGCAGGGAGAAAACTGTTGGCTCTGAAGTACCCCAGAAGTCCAGCTTGTTCAAAGTAAGCGGCAATGGCTTTGAGATCACAAAAACAGCCCTTTAACATCCAAGTCAGTTAGTAGAAACCCCTAAATACCATGTGGCAAAAAAGATTTGAAATTTATTTAAATATTCAGTTTATTTTCTCAGATGGGACTTTTTTTTTTTTTTTTTTTTTTTTAGACAGAGTCTCTGTTGCCCAGGCTGGAGTGCAGTGGCGCCATCTTGGCTCACTGCAACCTCTGCCTCCCAGTTCAAGCAATTTTCCTGTCTCAGCCTCCTGAGTAGCTGGGACTACAGGCACGAGCCACCACACCTGGCTATTGTTTGTATTTTTAGTAGAAACGGTTTCACCATGTTGGCCAGGCTGGTCTCAAACTCCTGATCTCAAGTGATCTGCCCGCCTCAGCCTCCCGAAGGGCTGGGATTATAGGCGTGAGCCACCGTGCCCCGCTGGAACTCAATTTTTAACACTAGCTTTTGTGCTAATAAATTAAATTGATTAATTCTTTAAGAAAACCCCAATTGTGTGTACTGTAACAGGTAAAACTAAGTTGGTTATAATGTGACAAAAATACAAGCAATAATAATAGCAAAATGATCCAATAGGAACCATGCAAAGAGTTTATATTATAACTCATGTCCCCTTTCCTGCAATGTTCTTAACTTCCATCCCCATTTTCCATATCAAGGAAATTAAGTTTGGAGACACTGAGTGAGTTACCTAAGTCACAGATCTGGTAGGTGGAGAGTTTCTCTCACTTCAGGGACCACAATCTACAGAATAAACTTGCACATTCTGCAAAATATTTGTTACCATTGGAAGTAGGTAGGCAAAGTGTTACTAGCATCAAATTATGGCAGGACTAAAAAGGAAGGGTGGTGGGCTGGTCTTGCTTCTACAGTTTAAGGGGGATCCGTGCACCGAGATGTCTGGCTAAGTGGTCATTGTAACAAATGGCAGAGATCGTGAAAACATCAGGGAGCAGGTGGTGGCCGTTCCAGTTTCTGATCTCAGGAGGAGGGAAGAACTGCCGATGTCTTTACTGTGAATGAGGGAGAGAAACGCTAAAGCGCAGAAATGCTCAGAACCAAAGAGCTGGATCACTCATACTTCTAGAAAAGACATTAGCATCTTCTCATTGCTCATCTACTGTGCCTGGCACAGCCTTATTTTCTAGCTTTCTGAATGTGAGTTCCATCCATATCCTTTGCATAAGGGTGGTACCGGGCTGTGGAGAGCTTGGAATGTGTGTCCATGGGCAGATGGACTGTTCTGGTTATTATAAAACGGCCAAGGGAGGGCGCCATGGCACACCTCTGAGTAACCCAGGACACTCTCTCCTGTTCGGAAAATGCAAACCATCCATATGGCAGGGTCACAATTATAAAGCTTGATCCTGTCACGGGAATGGTTTCAAATCTGACCAAGCTCATGGCACACATGGGGAAGCAATTGTGAAACCCCTTCGTTCTCTGGCTCTGGACACGCTGTACTGCGACAGTGGTTTGCAGGTGACAGAAAACGTAGCTGTGTCTACTGGGAAAGACGGGGGAGATTTCTTCCCATGGAGTTCTTTATAAAGCAAGAATGCGTGAAACTGTCAATAATATTGTAGTCTATAAAAGGAAATTGCTCTTAGAGGCTAATATGTCACAATGACTACTTTTTTTGCTTATTTGGAAAAGATCTTTATCGCTTGTGAGTATTAAGAAGTCAACATATAATTGCCACCCTAAACATTGTGTTCTGGAATGCCTGATTTATTGAAATCAGTGTGAAACCTTTTTTTTTTTTTTCCCAGATGAAGTCTCGCTCTGTCGCCCAGGCTGGAGTACGGTGCGGCCATCTTAGCTCACTGCAATCTCTGCCTCCCGGGTTCACGCCATTCTCCTGCCTCAGCCTCCTGAGTAGCTGGGACTACAGGTGCTTGCCACCATGCCCGACTAATTTTTTGTATTTTTAGTAGAGAAGGGGTTTCACCGTGTTAGCCAGGATGGTCTTGATCTCCTGACCTCGTGATCCTTCCGCCTCAGCCTCTCAAAGTGCTGGGATTATAGTCATGAGCCACTGCACCCGGCCAGTGTGAAACCTATTTTAAATAAAAATCTAGTTCAAAACCAAGGCCAGACATGGTGGCTCATGCCTGTAATCCCACACTCTGGGAGGCTGAGGTGGGAGGATCACTTGAGGCCGGGAGTTCAAGACCAGCCTTGGCAATACAATCTTCACCAAAAAAAAAAAAAAAAAAAAAAAGGCAGCAATTAGCCAGGCCTGGCGGCACAGACCTGTCTGTCCCAGCTACTCCAGGGACTGAGGCGGGAGGATCGTTTGAGCCCGGGAGGTCAAGGCTACAATAAGCGGTGCCGCACCACTGCACTCCAGCCTTCGTGTGAGACTGTGTCTCCAAAAAAAAAGAAGTCTGGAAATATTGATAAAGGCATAAATTTACACCCTGGAAGTTGGACACATAAATCATCTGCAGCCATGTATGGTGGACACAGGTGCAGCAGATGCTGGGAACGTTGCTTTAGTGCACACCGTGCACTGCAGTTTTGCACAACCTATTGAACTAAGAATTCCTAGTGAGGGACAGCGCATTAAACATGTCATAACAGCTGGCCGGGCGCGGTGGCTCAAGCCTGTAATCCCAGCACTTTGGGAGGCCGAGACGGGCGGATCACGAGGTCAGGAGATCGAGACCATCCTGGCTAACATGGTGAAACCCCGTCTCTACTAAAAGAATACAAAAAAAACTAGCCGGGCATGGTGGTAGGCACCTGTAGTCCCAGCTACTCGGGAGGCTAAGGCAGGAGAATGGTGCAAACCCAGGAGGTGGAGCTTGCAGTGAGCTGAGATCCAGCCCCTGCACTCCAGCCTGGGTGACACAGCGAGACTCCGTCTCAAAAAAAAACAAAAACAAAACAAAACAAAAAAAACATGTCATAACAATAAGCTATTTATTATGGACAGTTGTCTGTTTTCAGACATTGTGGCTACCCCAAACCACATTAAGTGAAAAGACATGATCATTTAGTTTAACCCTGTTTAAAAGGGTACACTGCTCTGTAATGTATTTTCTGTGGAAATCTTTCCTAGTTGGTCCATTGTTCTGATGATTAAACATCTGTTGCACTAGAAACAGAATATAAGCCGACAGTGCACTAGAGGATACTCATGACCATATTTCATCATTTTGTGATTCAATGACATTAAAGGGAGTAAAGTAAAAAATATAATAGGTATAAATGCGTAATTATAAGGACGAGGAGGGAAGTTCTTGTTGGAATAAATTGGCTTCCAGGGCCTTCGTGTCGACTTCGCTCCTTGTGAGGAAAGTCGTGTGATGCTTTTACCCTGAGGGATGATCTGAGAGACTTCACCAGGGACACGTGCTTGACAGATGCTCTGAAAGCAGACTTTAACCAGCCAACGACAGCAGTGAGAAATACACAGTCTCAACAAAGTGCACCCTTTAGAAAGTGCTGGGCATATAAGTAGTGAGGGCTTTCGTTATTCTAATACACATGTTGACTAAATGGGCACTGTCTTCAATTCAGATGACAAGACACCTCTTTCCAGCAGTTTAAATGGGCCGTGTATCTATCTCAAGCATACATTCAGTGAGAAATCCTGTAAGATTCCAAGATATTTCAAGAATCACATCCTTTTTTAACCCTTTACTGAAGATAAAATGAAGCCTGACCTCCTGAGTCTTGGAAAATGTGCATTTCTTAGAACTATTTTAAAAATGAATCCTACGGCTGGGCATGGTGGCTCACACCTGCAATCCCAGAACTTTCGGAGGCCAAGCGGGGAGGATCACTTGAGGTCAGGAGTTCAAGATCAGCCTGGCCAACATGGTAAAACCCCGTCTCTACTAAAAATACAAAAATTAGCCAGGCATGGTGGCGGGCGCCTGTAGTCCCAGCTACTTGGGAGGCTGAGGCAGGAGAATTGCTTGAACCCAGGAGGCAGAGGTTGCAGTGAGCCGAGATCGCATCACTGCACTCCAGTTCGGGTGACAGAGCGAGGCTCAGTCTCACAAAAAAAAAAAAAAAAGGAATCCTTCTAAGTAATTCATCAGCTTAAGCCATGTTGGCTGAACATTAAGACTTTGTCAAATCCTAAGGAACAAAATAATATCAAAATTACGACGAATTATTTTGCCATAGAATAAAATAGAAATATTACCATACATTTGACTCATTTGTTTGAAAATCTTTATATGATTGTTGCTTCATTTTAAAAACCAGATCTCACAAACCTGACCCAAGTTATGTGCAAAATAACGTGTCAGTTGCACAGCCCCTGGAGGCGAGTGAGCCCACATGCCTCTGCTGGTGTAATTTCTAGAGTCTGTTTGCTGTGGGCCTTTATCATGTTTCCAAAATAAGGAAGTCGCCCAATGACATTTTAAAATATAACATTGATACCGTTTGACTAGAAAATAACTAAAATTGGGCAAAGAGGATATTTCACTCTCATTGGAGGATGCAGCATTTTATTCAGGTTTAAAATTTGTGATTCATCCAGGTGTGGTGGCTCAAGCCTATGATCCCAGCACTTTGAGAGGCCGAGGTGGGCAGATATCTCAAGGTCAGGAGTTCAAGGCAAGCCTGGCCAACGTGGTGACACCCTCTCTAGGCTAAAATTACAAAAATTAGCTGGTGCATTGACACGCGCCTGTAATCCCAGCTACTAGGAGGCTGAGGCAGGAGAATGGCTTGAATCTGGGAGGCAGAGATTGTGATGAGCCAAGATGGTGCCACCGCACTCCAGCCTGAGCAACAGAGTGAGATCCCATCTAAAAAAGAAAAAAGAATTGTGATTCTCCAAACTGTGGGTCAGGGAACTGCAGAGAACATGGAATCTGCAGTGCTGTTAGGAAAGAATGGCATTGCGAAAGAGCAACAATTCCTGAGCCTCTTCCCTGGCAGAGTCCATTTTAGCGACAATGTTGACAATGACCCAAAGTCTCTGGGTTTTCCGGCGGAGGGCACAGCTGATGTCATCCCTCCTGTGCTGGCAGTTTTCTAAGTGAGTTCAGATCCTCTAGGAAGGAAGAATGGACACTCTGAGATCTCTGCGGGAGGTCTTTGCTTTGCAGTGGCAGGTCTCTATGTGCAGCGCTGTGGAGAAGTCTCTGGGGGGGGCCAAGCCTCCCAGGGAGATTTACGGGCTCCAGGGACTGGAGGTTTGGACCCTATCTCCGCCTCTCCCAATCCATTACAACACGTGTTTCTAGCATCTGTGGAGTGCCTGAATGAGGGGACATGCCTCCAAGTTGTCCTCAGGAGATTCCGAATTGTTCGTGGATGTCGGATGTGCGGTGTCCATGGGAGTGTCTGGGATTTTGGTGTCTTGTGCGTCCAGCAGCGTTGGCACCTCCAAGCTGAGGGAAGTGGGGTCCCTGCCTCCACCTGCCCGCATGTGGGGTCTCCCTAGAAGGAAGCCTTTGGTAGGTGCGTGGGAAGATTAAGGTGCTCGAATGCGTACTGCGAGGAGGTGCAGAGGCACCAGGCTCTAGCAGCCTCCTGCCTCCAGGAGAGGCCCAGGTCGAGATCACTGCGGCGACCAACGCCTCGGATCACTCGAGGACTAGAAGGCACCCACCAGCTGTGTCGACAGGAGTGCGCAGGGGCCTTGCACATTGGGCATATTGTGGCGTCAGTTTCGGAATCAGCCTGCGTGGAGTCGGTCCAGGACACCCAGCCAGGATTCCGTCGTCGGGGAAAGGAACGCCCACGTGGCTTGGATGAAGGACACGCCAGGGGATGCAAAGGCTCTGGTTGCTGGGAGGAGCTGAGGGATGACAGATACCCCAAGGATTCTGCGGAGGTGGTCGTGTTTGGTGATAGGGTGCTCGCAGGTGGCTCCTGTGAAGGCTGCTTCAGGGGACACAAAGGCTCTGGTGACTTGGAGGAGCTCAGGGATGACAGAGACTCAAAGGACCCTACAGAGGTCTTCGGGACTGATGACGGTGCGGAGGCCAGAGGAGCCGGGGGAGCCCGTGGGGACACATGGAAGCTGGTGGGAGAAGCTTTCCCATGCCCCCCACGTGGCCGGTGGTTCTTCACAGATGTTCGTTTGTACACTGACCCCGAGCGGGCTTGGCGTGGAACGTGCTGGGAGCTGCCCTCAACAAGGAGCTTCCTCAGGCACCTGCAGCAGACGGGAGGCACAGGCTGCAGCCAGGAGCACTGGGCACCTGCGGCCCACGCCTCTCCAGGGCCCCCCATGCTGACTTCACAAAGCTCTGCCTACCCCTGCCCCAGGGCTTTAGTGACATCCTGGCTGTGATCTCCCCTCCCACATCAGCCCCAGGCCCTGGGCTGGCATCCTAGGTCCTGGTAGGAAGGAGGACACGGGAGAGAAGGGGAAAGAGACTCACTTTTTCGACAGGAAAGTGTAGAACTCAAGGTTCTCCAATTCTTTCAAGAGACTTCTGCAAGCTGGAAAGCAGGAGATGGGTTATGGTGGTGAGGGAGGAAACTGGGACTTACAGGAGGCTGAGTGCATGTGCCCTTAGGGGAGACCCCAGGATCGGGGATTAGACCCTGGAGCCCCAGCATCCCTGTGGAAGGCCACAGGGCCCCAAGAGTGAGAGCCAGGTGCCCGGGGGCCAGCACTTTGTCATTTACAAAGTGCTTCCCGACATGCCACCTCCTGGGGAGAGAGGACGGGGCACTCTCAAAGAGGACTCAGCCATGTTAAACAGCTGCCCACATAGACCTGCATCCCCTCCAGCATGTCCAGGTGGTCACTGGTCCCCTCCCCCACACAGTCCCCTCCTGGGCAACACCCGCTCCCTGGACCCCAAGGCTTCATCCCAGCAGGGAACGGGAGACATATCCCAGGTTCCAATCGCCTTACCAGGAGCTTCCCCACCAGGCCTCTGCAAATGACTTCCTAGGAGACTTGGTGCTTATTCCTAGGGACAGGTGAAGCTGGCATCTCTGGGGCTTCTGGGACCCTCAGAGCCTTACCTTTCCAGGTGATGTATTTATTTCCGATCCTGAGCCATTCCCCCACTTCAGCTTTATCCTGAGAGACAAGACAGAGTGAGGGTGCAGGCCGGGTCTCAGTCTCCTGTCCCCACAGCTGCAGACCCACAGTGCTCGTGAATGACACACTTTCTCCGCCCGGCTCACGGAGCCCTGTGTGCTTCTCTTTCCTTTCACTCGATTCTAAAGTGCATAATAACCTGTTCTGGTTTCCTTCTTCGAAAAGCACGGGGGGGTTTTTTTTTTTTTTTTTTTTTTTTTTTTTTTGAGACGGAGTCTCGCTCTGTCGCCCAGGCTGGAGTACAGTGGCGCTATCTCGGCTCACTGCAAGCTCCGCCTCCCGGGTTCCCGCCATTCTCCTGCCTCAGCCTCCCGAGTAGCTGGGACTACAGGCGCCGCCACCTCGCCCGGCTAATTTTTTTGTATTTTTAGTAGAGACGGGGTTTCATTGTGTTAGCCAGGATGGTCTCGATCTCCTGACCTCGTGATCTGCCCGTCTCGGCCTCCCAAAGTGCTGGGATTACAGGCTTGAGCCACCGCGCCCGGCCATGCACGGAGGGGTTTTCTATGTGAGGCCCGCCCTGGGCGTCCTCAGTGCCTGTTCCCCTGCTTGGGAACCACACACACTTGCGTCCGCAGGAGCCTCTGAGCTGGCAGGGGAGGATTCGGCTTCCGAGGAGGCCAGAGGCGAGTCCAGGCTCAGGTGGGGGCTCTCAGGGGCTCAGCACAGCCGCCAGAGACCCCACACAGAGGCTGGGCCCCGAGGCACCTGCCCGGGAAGGCGGCTGATGAGCCGGGGCTCAGGGCCTGTCCTCCCACAGAGACCTCACCCCTCTCAGGACCGGGTCCTCGCCGCTGAGTCCCGGGGTTTGTTTTTGCTCAGACGCCTCCCGTGCACCCCACAGATGGTCTGGGAGCTGGGGATGGAAATCCTATGCCCACTCCAACCCCTGCCTGCCCTGCTGTCCCTAGAGGGATGATGAGACTTCCCATCACAGGAGCGCCTCTGCTTGATTTGGAAAAGTGGAAAAGAGAGCAGGAAAAATAGAATCATTCTCTGCTGGGTGTGGGCTGAGGGCTCCTTACATTCTCGCTGTTCTCCTCTCTGGGAGGCACTGAGGACGGCTCCCTGGGAAAGTAGGGGCTTAAGATGATGAGGAACACCAGGCTAAACCCAACGAAGAGGATGAGATGGATGATCTGGGGAACGGGGCTGGGGCACAGCTCTGTATCAATAATACTCAGAGGAAAGAGAATATCCATGTCAGCTGCACTGCTGTCCTCCGGCTACTGAGCCCTGGGCATCCCCTCTGGGAGTATTTATTGGGGCCCAGGCCCACATCACAGAGCTGGGGCCTGCCCCTCACAAAGGGCTCCTAAGGGTGGGTGGGCAGTGGCAGGAGGAGGCTAAATCCCAGCCCTGCCCACCACCACCCACCCCTGCAGTTCCCCTCACCCTCCTGGCCTTCCAGATCCCTCCTTCCCACTCCATCTGCTCAACCTGTCAGAGACAGACCTGGTCCGTTTTCTGTCCTCTCACCCTGGCATACAGATGGTATCTGGCTCCTTGGAGATCTCTGCTCAGGCTCCCTCAATTTCACAGTTTTTGAGGATCTGGATTTGTCCCTGAAATTTCCGTTATTTCCAGGAATTATTGTTCTAGGGTCTCCTCTGACTGCTCACTGCAACCTCCAACTCCCAGGGTGTTTTTGAGACGGAGTCTCACTCTGTCGCCCAGGCTTGAGTGCAGTGGCCGGATCTCAGCTCACTGCAAGCTTCATCTCCCAGGTTCACACCATTCTCCTGCCTCAGCCTCCAGAGTGGCTGGGACTACAGGTGCCTGCCACCACGCCCGGCTAATTTTTTTGTATTTTTAGTAGAGACGGGGTTTCACCGTGTTAGCCAGGATGGTCTCCATCCTCTGACGTCGTGATCTGCCCGACTTGGCCTCCCAAAGTGCCAGGATTACAGGCGTGAGCCACCGCGTCTGGCCTTAAAAAAGTTTTTCTAGGGCTGGTCGGGCGCGGTGGCTCAAGCCTGTAATCCCAGCACTTTGGGAGGCCGAGACGGGCGGATCACGAGGTCAGGAGATCGAGACCATCCTGGCTAACACGGTGAAACCCCGTCTCTATTAAGAAATACAAAAAAAACTAGCCGGGCGAGGTGGCGGGCACCTGTAGTCCCAGCTACTCGGGAGGCTGAGGCCGGAGAATGGCGTGAACCCGGGAAGCGGAGCTTGCAGTGAGCTGAGATCCGGCCACTGCACTCCAGCCTGGGTGACAGAGCGAGACTCCGTCTCAAAAAAAAAAAAAAAAAAAAAAAGTTTTTCTAGGGCTTTGGCTAAATATATGAACATAAGTGATGCCCAATTCGGGTTTTGCCAAATAACACAACTCTTTTCAGAAACTACAAATTCCAGTGGCTCCGGCAGAATGAGTATCCACCTAGGGAATTAATATCAACCTAGGGAGTGAGTGTCAACCTAGAGAATGAGGATCAACATCAACCTAGGGAATAAGGATCAACCTAGGGAATGAGGATCAACCTAGGTCAGCTCTCCATAACAAGAACCCACAAATTTGAGAGTCCACTTCACATCTCAACTGTTAGATAACAGCAGGCAAGATGCATGTTCCTGACGGGCACAGGTTGTTTATATGGTGATTGTTTTAGTTGTTGGTGTTTTCTCCCTTTCTTCCCTCTCTCCCTCCCTCCTTTCCTCCCCTCCCCTCCACATAATAGAGGGCCCGAGTCTCCACAGGGTGCTCACCTCTAACTGCCTCCACCATTAGAAAAGGAAGTCAGGGCCAGGGGTGGTGGCTCACGCCTGTAATCCCAGCATTTTGGAAAGCCAAGGAGGGAGGATCACGAGGTCAGGAGATCGAGACCATCCTGGCTAACACGGTGAAACCCCGTCTCTACTAAAAATACAAAAAATCAGCCGGGTGTGGTGGTGGGTGCCTGTAGTCCTAGTAACTGAGGAGGCTGAGGCAGGAGAATGGCATGAACCCGGGAGGTGGAGCTTGCAGTGAGCCGAGATCGCGCCACTGCACTCCAGCCTGGGCGACGACTCCGTCTCAAAAATAAATAAATAAATAAGTCAGAAAGCTAAGCAAGGCCTGGATCAGGAGAGCTCCTTATTCTGATGATGAGAAACCACCACAGGTCTCTGGGAAGGGAAGTGGCATGGTCTGATTTACCTATTTTTGAAAATCCATGTAAAGATTATGGGGAGAGCTGCTGGGCACAGTGGCTCACACCTGTAATCCCAGCACTTTGGAAGGCCGAGGCGGGCGGATCACGAGGTCAGGAGATCGAAAACCATCTTGGCGAACACGGTGAAACCCCGTCTCTACTAAAAATACAAAAAAATTAGCCAGGCGTGGTGGCGGACGCCTGTAGTCCCAGCTTCTTGGGAGGCTGAGGCAGGAGAATCACGTGAACCTGGGAGGCGATGGAGCTTGCAGTGAGCGGAGATCGTGCCACTGCACTCCAGCCTGGGAGACAAAGCAAGACTCAGTCTCAAAAATAAAAAATAAAAAATAAAAAAAAGATTAGGGGGGGAGCAGGGGCAAGAGTGGAAGCAGAGATGCCAGGTAGGAAGCAGTTAGAAGAATCCAGATAGGAATGGTTGCGGGTTGCTTGGACTGGTGTGATAATACTGTAGACAGGTTCGGGATGTATTTTGAAGATGAAACCAGCTGGTCTTGCTCATGTGAACACTGAGAGAAACTGGGGCCGCAGAAACAGGTAAATTAGGGATAGGTGGGGAAGGGCGAGAAGGATGCTACTTTGAGATGGAAAACACGGGGGGAGGATCTGGATGTGAGTTGTGTGGTGGCTTCAGAAACCTTTTGACCTTAAATGTCAGATGGCATCAGACATACCAGTGGCACTAGAAGCTGCGGAAGCACGGGTACAATCTAGAAATCGGCCGAGAGTTTTGGCTAGAGATGTAATGTAGGAATCATCAATTTATAGGTGTCATTGGTGTATTTAAAACCATGGACCAAGGGCCAATCGCCGCGGCTCACGCCTGGAATCCCAGCACTGTGGGAGGCCAAGGTGGGCAGATCACTTGAAGTCAGGAGTTCAAGACCAGCCTGGCCAACATGGTGAAACCCCATCTCTTCTGAAGATACAAAAATTAGCTGAGTGTGGTGGCGTGTGCCTATAGTCCCAGCTACTCAGGAGGCTGAGGCAGGAGAATCACTTGAACCCGGGAGGCCGAGGTTGCAGGGCACTGAGATCATGCCACTACACTCCAGCCTGGGCAACAGAGACTCTGTCTCAAAAAAAAAAAAAAATGTGACTGGGGACTCAAAAAGTGTGGAGAGCAGGAGCAGGGGAAGGGCTGGAAAACCACCTGTTGGGTACTGTGTTCACTATTTGAGTGACAGGTTCACTAGAAGCCCAAACCTCAGCACCACACAGTTTATCCACATAACAAGCCTGCACATGTACCCACTGAATCTAACAATTTTTAAAAAGTGATGAGCCATGTTAATAGCAGATACCCTTGGTGTGATGTGATGAGAATGACATTTTCCCTGTGGGCTTCCTCCCCATGGCACAGGGGCCACCCCAGTCATGTTTACAGCCCCGGCCCCGGACAGTATTGAGTCCCTGAGCCCCCAGCACGCGTGTGTACAGCTCCCGTCCCCCTGCCCCACCTCACCCGGCCGGCCCTGCCTTATTTTGACGTCACAGCTGAGCACCGTGGTGGGAGGTGGCCACGGTACAGCCTGTAAGTAGGGCTGTAAGCAGTCACAATGGGCTGTAAATAGCCCAGCCCCATTACCACATGCTCCAAGCCAGCTGGCTACAGATCAGTTGTTTCTAGAACCAGAGTTTATACGATGAGAAAAATAGAAGGGACAGAACAGTGTGTTCCCAGAACACACCTGCAGCTCCCCCAGGCTGGGGCGGGGGTCTGGGGCCGGCTCTGCTGGCTCAGTCCCTTTGCATCTCCTCAAGTTCCCTCTGTGGGACTGGGCGCTGTTTCCACCAAACCGTCTGCTCTCCAGTCCCACAGGGGGTTGCTGTCAGTCATCCTACAGCCTCTCCGCCTAGGCTTTGAAACTGATTCATTGCTCTTTTGCTGTATTTTTCTTTGTAGGTTTCAGAATTCTCTATTTGTGATAATCTTTCGGAAGGATCCTGTGAGAGTGAAAATAAATGAAGTGCTCAATCAGCCAAGTTTCACCGGAGGCTCCACTGATCCTTCCACCATGCTCGAATGCCTGCAGGAAATCTGAGGAATCATCTTTCCCACCCTAAGATCTTGTGTGATACCCTACCTTGTTTTAACCTGATTAACTCTCTCTTAGCTGAGAGATCCAGACAGACTCCATTTTGGTTTCTTCGCTTGCAGCCCCTTGTCCCCCTCCTTTAAGGACATAACTGGTGCAAGCTGACTCCAGGCACACCCAGGAGTGCGCTTACTGATAAGATACTGCGGCAAGCTGTGCCAGCGGCTCCTGGGAACGCGCTTGGTTAGTGGTACCCAAAGGCTCTGTGTTTATCACTTTGTGATAATTGAAGCCCCTGCACCTGGAACTGTTTATTTTCCTGTAACTGTTTCTGTAACCATTTATCTTTTAACTTTTTGCCTGTTCTGCTTCTGTAAGAAAAAAAAAAAAATTGCTCCAGCTGGACTCCCCTTCCCCTATTTAGACCAAAGTTATAAAAAGAAATCTGCCCCTTCCTCGGGGCCAAGAGAATAAGACTCCTGAATTAGTCTCAGAGTGTGATGTTATCTCTACAACTCGCTGGGTTACGACACCTGGGACTCAGCACTGGCCCTGAGGCCCCTGACAGCAAACGTGCAGGAAAAATGCGGAGCTGCAAGATCAAAGTCAGATTCCCACTCTCCCTAAAGGCCGGGCTTCCCCTGGAAACCCACGTCCCCACTGCCTGGAAGGAGGGGTGAGGACCCAAGGGAGTGGCTCGGGGCATCAACTGGTCCAGGCAGGAGGCGGTTCCCCATCTCCCATCTTTCCAGCGCCCAAGGGAGCCTCTCAGAGGACTCTCATTGCCTCCCCCCACCATCACAAAGCAGCCTGCTCCTGGCCTGTATCCAAACACCCCTGGGGACGGCTGCCCTGGGCATGCTCCCCTTGCCCTGATGGCCCCTAGAACTCCATAAGGAAAGGCTCGCCAGGGCCACCCAGACAGTCCCTGACCCCACATTGTCCCAACACACAAGGCTTCACCCTGGAGGAAATAGGAAAAGGGAGTGAATCCCACAGGCTCCCCTCACAAAAGGAAAGCTACATGCTGTCACTTGGATGCTAGGTGGGCTCTGAGGCTGGAGAAAAGCTCCCAGGGACGATGCCTCCTGGAGTTTTTTGTTTTGAGATGGAGTCTTGCTCTGTTGCCCAGGCTGGAGTGCAGTGGTGCAATCTCAGCTCACTGCAACCTCCACCTCCCTGGTTCAAGCCATTCTCCAGCATCAGCCTCCGGAGTAGCTGGGATTATAAGCGCTCGCCACCACGTCCAGCTAATTTTTTTGTATTTTTAGTAGAGATGAGGTTTCACCATGTTGGCCAGGCTGCCCTTGAACTCCCAATCTCAGGTGATCTGCCTGCCCTGGCCTCCAAAGTGCTGGGATTACAGGCATGAGCCACCACATCTGGCCACCTCCTGAAGTCTTTGCTGCACAGGACTCCATCCTTTTGTGGAGCCAGGAGGGTGGGATTCTGCCCTCGTCTGCTGGCCAGTGCTCCCACCTCATTTCAACAGGGACTGCCCGGCCAGGGAATGTTAGCCTGGGATGCACCCACCACTCGGGGGCCTGTGGGAGGTAGTCACCCCCTCCTGGCCAGACTGAGCGCCTTTGCTTTGCAGTCCACGGATTCAAGTGTTAATCCCTCCCTCACCACCATAACCCATCTCCTGCTTTCCAGCTTGGAGAAGTCTCTTGAAAGAATTGGAGAACACTAAGGACCACACTCTCCCGCTAGAAAAGTGAGGCTCTTTCCTCTTCTTTCCCGTGTTCGCCCTCCTACCAGGACCTAGGATGCCAGCCCAGGGCCTGGGGCTGATGTGGGAGGGGAGATCACAGTCGTGATGTCACTAAAGCCCTGGGGCAGGGGTAGGCAGAGCTTTGTGAAGTCAGCATGGGGGGCCCTGGAGAGGCGTGGGCCGCAGGGGCCCAGTGCTCCTGGCTGCAGCCTGTGCCTCCTGTCTCCTGCAGGTGCCTGAGGAAGCTCCTTGTTGAGGGCAGCTCCCATCACCTTCTACGCCAAGACCGCCCAGGGCCAGTGTACGAACGAGCCCCTGCGAGGAACCACCGGCCACGTGGGGGGTGTGGGAAAGCTTCTCCCACCAGCTTCCATGTGTCCCCACAGGCTCCCCCGGCTCCTCTGGCCTCCATGCCGTCATCAGTCCCGAAGACTTCTGTAGAATCCTTGGGGTCTCTGTCATCGCTGAGCTCCTCCAAGCCACCAGAACCTTTGTGTCCCCCGAAGCACCTTTCACACCAGCCACCTGCGAGCACCCTATCACCAAACCCAGAATGAATCCTCTCCTACCCGGCTTTTGTGTTCTGTTCAGGTCTTTGATGGATTGTAGGGGCCACCCACACTGGGGAGGGCCATCTGCTTTGCATTCCACTGGTTCAAGTGTTAATCTCACCTAGAACTCCCTCACACACACCCAGAATAATGTTTGGCCAAATGCCTCCCCTCTGTGGGCCAGTCAGGCAGACCCATGAAATTAACCGACACAGGCTCTGAGACTCCAGGCCCAAGAGGCCCATGTCCTCCAGCTTCTGCTGATGTGGCCCGGGGGTCCCTGGGGACAGGCTGTGGCTGGGAGGCTGAAGCTGTGGCCTGGACAGGGATGGGGCCACTCAGCAGCATGTCCCCTGGTCACGTCCTTCACACCTGAGCCTCCCTCCTCCTCCGTAAGTGGGCTGTACTGTTGTGCTGCCCGTAACTGATGACCCATATGGTGTGCTTTGACAACCTCCCCCAGTGATAGACGTGACACCAAGACCCCGCCTGGGCGTGTCCCTGTTGGCTGCTACCAGATGAGGGCACTGGGGCTGGAAGGGGTCAGCTGACTGCTTGGGGTTCCATGGCTGGTCAGAAGCATGGCTGGGATCTGAGCCCAGGCAGTCTGGCTACAGAGGCCACATTCCCACCCCTGACCACCCCTCTGCCTGCCCCTCATGGGGGTGGTGTGGCTTCCCCCACTCTCGCTGGCTCATGGCTGCTTCTGAAGGTGGTGAAGGAGCCCACCAGCCCAGGTCCTGGGGCCAGTCCAGGCTTTGTAGCAGGAAGCTGAGGCAGAGTGGGGGCCTCAGGGTGGGGAAGATGACCCTCTGCCGTCAAGAGAGGACCTCGTCCTTTGCTGGGACCCAACCTGGGCTGACCTCAGTTGGGCGATGCCCAGGGCATGAAGTTGGAGGGAGCTGAATGGCCTCAAAGGAGGAAGGCTCCCCACACTCGGGTGAGAGAAACCCCCACACGGAGACCCGAGACTTAGTGTAAGATCCCAGAGAGAATGGCCTTCACATACGGTCGATACAGGCTCTTAAAATACTGAAATAGTTCTAGTGAGTGCTGAGATGTGTTGGAAAGTGTTTAAAATCCTGGAATGTGTGCATGTGTGCGTGCACGCTCATCTGTGTGTGTGTGTGTGTGCGCGCGCGCGCGCGCGCGTGCATGCTCGTGTGTGTGTGTGTGCATGGTGAGAGTGCTGGTGAGCTTGGAGAGGCTCTAGTGTTAAAAAGGAGTCTGGCCTCGAGAAGCTCTCCAAGTGTAAACAAAGGACAGCCTGCATGGTCCTGGAGGGTGGGTCTTTAATTCCTGCTTCCTCAACAGGGTCCCTGAGGGCTCAGGATGGAGGGATGGAGGCTGCTAGGGGGTAAAAACAGCACGTCCCTGGCAGGGAAAGGCCCGGCCTGTGAGGGCTCAGACGAAACCTGGCTCCACACGCAGTTAATGCTGCCTGGGCCTCAGGGACCAGCCCATCCACCTCCTGTCCTCCAGTTGGGGCCACAGGGCTCCCAGAGAAAGAAGCAGGGTCCCCTCAAGCCCCCGACACCAAGGACCAGCCAGGCTCCAGGCTCCACCCCTCCTTGTGCATTTCTGCCCTCCCCAGGCTTCTCTGTGGCTTTGCTGCCATCTCCTGGAAACCAGCCTAGCGCTGACCCAGCCTTGTCCTCAGCAACCATGGCCTTCACATCGCATTCCATGTGCCTGAAATTCCCCTCTGGACACACAGGCTCCGTGAAGACGGTTTAGGCAGTTCCCAACTTCATGATCACAACAGGGCCTTCTGGCCGTCACTGCACGGTCCCTAGTCTGGGCCAGGGTCACCCCACCCATGGGAGGATGGGTCAGAGCTGTCCTCCCATAGCCAGGCTGGAATGGGCCCCACAGCCTTCAGGGAAGTGCCTTTTCCTCTACAAAGCTGGTCACCTGCTCTCACTCACCCTTATAGGCTCTGTACCTGGGAGTCTCCATTCCCAGGGACCCTGTGTATTTAAGTCTAGGTTGGGTATTGACCCGGTCACCCCGGCTTTCTTCCCATCCGCACTCACACTGCATACTATTCCACACCCTCTTGCCTTCTACCTTTCTACACTTCACTGTGACCTTTGTAAGCAACATCTGGCTAGATTTTGTTTTGTGTCCAATCGGAGAGGCTCTGTTCTGTACATTTATGGATCTTATTTTTATTGATCTATGAGAATTATTTCCACCACTTAATTTTTTGTCCTGGCTTTTCTAAACTTCTATTTTCTCTCTCTTTTCCTAATTTCTAGTAGAGAGACTCAGTTTTCTGTATTCGCCTTCCTCTTTCGAATGACTTGGAGGTTATGGTAGGCAGATCATGGCTCCCGCAGATACACCCATGTCTAAGCCCTGAAGCCCCTGAGCATCACCTTGTGTGGTGATAGACGTGATTAGGGGAGGGACCCTGAGAAGAGGAGCATATCCTGAGTCTTCCAGGCCAGCCCTAAACGCCTTATAAGAAAGAAGCAAAGGGAGCTTCCACCCAGACCCGCCGCACAGGCAACAAGGCCCTGTGAAGGATGGAGTAGGTCTTGGGACACAGCCACAGCGCAGGAACGCCACGGCAGCCGCTGGAGGCCGGAAGAGGCCAGGAATGCTCCTTCCCGAAAGCCTCAGGAGGGAGCCTGGCCCTGCCTTCTCCAGGCCTTGATTTCTGTCTTCTGGCCTCCAGGACTGTGAGGGGGTAAGTTTCTGTTGCTGTGAACCCCCAGGCCTGTAGGAGCTTGTTACAGCAGCCACAGGAAACACAGAGGACGTATTTTCTCTTTTACTGTAATAAACTGCCTTGAACACTTTATCGTGTGTACCCGGACACGCCTACTCTCGGCCTAGACACAGCCAGCGTCTCTGCAGGTTCCTCTCCTAACCCATTAGAACACACATTTCCCCAACTGCGGGGTACCCCGATCAGGGAGGGGACGCAGCTCCACGTTGCCCTCAGGATATTCCTAATTGTTGTGGATGTTGGATGTGCGGTGTCCATGGGAGTGTCTGAGATTTTCGTGTCTTCTGCATCCAGCAGCTTTGCCACATCCAGGCCAAGGGAAGTGGGGCTCCTGCCTCCACCTGCCTGCTTGTGGGATCTCCCTAGAGGGAAGCGTTTGGTAGGTGGGTGGTAAGATTAGGGTGCTCGAATGGGTGAGGAGGTGCAGAGGCACTGGGCTCTAGCAGCCTCCTGCCTCTAGGACAGGCGCAGGTTGGGATCACTGTAGCGACCAATGCCTTGGATCACTCGAGGGCTAAAAGGCACCCACTAGCTACACAGCTCAGGGGCGTCGCACATTGGGTATATTGTGGCGTCAGTTTCGGAATCAGCCTGGGTGGAGTCAAACCAGGACACCCAGCCAGGATTCCGTGGTGGGGAGAACGCCCACGTGGCTTGTGTGAAGGATGCTCCAGGGAATGCAAAATCTCTGGTCACTGGAAGAAGCTGAGGGATGACAGCGACCCCAAGGGTTTTATAGAGGTGCCCAGGTTTGCTGATACGGTGCTTGCAAACGGCTCATATAAAGGGTGCGTCACAGCGGGTCTGGAATTGGTGGGTTCTTGGCCTCGGTGACTTCAAGAATGAAGCCACCAACCCTTGCGGTGAGTGTTACACTTCTTAAAGATGGCGTGTCTAGAGTTTCTTCCTTCTGGCGGGCTCAAGCCGCAGACCTTCCCAGTGAGCGTTACAGCTCTTAACCCCAGCACATCCGGAGTTGGTCCTTGTCTGGCCAGCTTCAGGAGTGAAGCTGCAGATTTCTGAGGTGACTATTACAGCTCATAAAGGCAGCGCCAACCCAGAGGGCACATAAAACTAAACAACAAAAATTCCACGACGCGGAAAAGGACCCAAATGGATTGCAGCGGCTGGCTGGGGCCAGCTGCTTTTATTCCCTTATCTGGCTCCACACACATCCTGCTGATTGGTCCATTTTACAGAGCGCTGACTGGGCCGTTTTACAGAGCGCTGACTGGGCCGTTTTACAGAGAGCTGATTGGTCCGTTTTCACAGAGTGCTGATTGGTCCGTTTTGACAGAGTGCTGATTGGTCCGTTTTGACAGAGTGCTGATTGGTCCATTTTGACAGAGTGCTGATTGGTGCATTTACAAACCTTTAGCTAGACACAGAGGGCTGATTGGTGCGTTTACAATCCTTTAGCTGGACAGAAAAGTTCTCCAAGTAACCACCGGTTCCGGAAGCCCAGCGGGCTTCACTGCTCCCTGGTGCTGGTGCGTGGGAGTTTGCGGCGTCTAGCCAGGGCGCTCCCGCAGCCCAGAGAGCGCTGGTCCCCTGCTGGAGTCCAGCAGGCACCCCTCCGGCTGCTCTGAGGAGGGCCCGCCGAGCCCGCGCTCACCCGGAACCGCTCCTGCCCGCCAGCGCCCCAGCTCCCGCCCACGCCTCCCCCCAACACCTCCGGGCCAGCAGAGGGAGCGGACTCCGGCCTCGGCCAGCCCCAGCGAAGGGCCCCCGCAGCGCAGAGGCGGGCTGAAGGGCTCCTTGAGCGCGGCCAGAGCGGACACCAAGACTGAGGAGGCGCCGAGAACCAGCAAGGGCTGCTAGTACGTTGTCACCCCTCAAGAGGACATGAAGACGCTGGTAGCTTGGAGGAACACAGGCATGACAGAGACCCAGAGGACCGTATGGAGGTCTTTGGGACTAATGATGGCGTGGAGGCCAGATGAGACAGGGGAGCCCAGAGACAATCTGGTGGGAGAAGCTTTCCCATACTGCCCCCAACCTGGCCAGTGAACCTTCCAAGGGCCTCGTTCAAACAACTTCCTCAAGCGGTGTCGGCTTAGAAGACAATGGAAGCTGACCTCACCAGGGAGCTTCCTCAGCAGCCTGCAGGGCACAGGAGGCACAGGCTGCAGCCAGGAGCACTGGGCACCTGCGGCCCACGCCCCTCCAAGGCCCCTCACGCTCACCTCACAAAGCTCTGCCTACCTCTGCTCCAGGGCTTTAGTGACATCACGGCTGTGATCTCCTCTCCCACATCAGCCCCAGGCCCTGGGCTGGCATCCTGGGTCCAGGTAGGAAGGACACGGGAGAGAAGGAGAAACAGCCTCACTTTTCTGGCAGGAGAGTGTGGTCCTTAACGTTCTCCAGTTTTTTCAAGAGACTTCTCCAAGCTGGAAAGCAGGAGATGGGTTATGGCGGTGAGGGAAGAAACTGGGACTTACAGGAGGCTGAGTGCATGTGCCCTTAGGGGAGACCCCGGGATGGGGGATCAGACCCTGGAGCCCCAGCATCCCTGTGGAAGGCCACAGGGCCCCAAGAGTGAGAGCCAGGTGCCCGGGGGCCAGCACTTTGTCATTTACAAAGTGCTTCCCGACATGCCACCTCCTGGGGAGAGAGGATGGGGCACTCTCAAAGAGGACTCAGCCATGTTAAACAGCTGCCCACATAGACCTGCATCCCCTCCAGCATGTCCAGGTGGTCACTGGTCCCCTCCCCCACACAGTCCCCTCCTGGGCAACACCCGCTCCCTGGACCCCAAGGCTTCATCCCAGCAGGGAACGGGAGACATATCCCAGGTTCCAATCGCCTTACCAGGAGCTTCCCCACCAGGCCTCTGCAAATGACTTCCTAGGAGACTTGGTGCTTATTCCTAGGGACAGGTGAAGCTGGCATCTCTGGGGCTTCTGGGACCCTCAGAGCCTTACCTTTCCAGGTGATGTATTTATTTCCGATCCTGAGCCATTCCCCCACTTCAGCTTTATCCTGAGAGACAAGACAGAGTGAGGGCGCAGGCCGGGTCTCAGTCTCCTGTCCCCACAGCTGCAGACCCACAGTGCTCGTGAATGACACACTTTCTCCGCCCGGCTCACGGAGCCCTGTGTGCTTCTCTTTCCTTTCACTCGATTCTAAAGTGCATAATAACCTGTTCTGGTTTCCTTCTTCGAAAAGCACGGAGGGGTTTTCTTTTTTTTTTTTTTTTTTTTGAGACGGAGTTTCGCTCTGTCTCCCAGGCTGGAGTGCAGTGGCGCTATCTCGGCTCACTGCAAGCTCCGCCTCCCGGGTTCCCGCCATTCTCCTGCCTCAGCCTCCCGAGTAGCTGGGACTACAGGCGCCGCCACCTCGCCCGGCTAATTTTTTTGTATTTTTAGTAGAGACGGGGTTTCATTGTGTTAGCCAGGATGGTCTCGATCTCCTGACCTCGTGATCTGCCCGTCTTGGCCTCCCAAAGTGCTGGGATTACAGGCTTGAGCCACCGCGCCCGGCCATGCACGGAGGGGTTTTCTATGTGAGGCCCGCCCTGGGCGTCCTCAGTGCCTGTTCCCCTGCTTGGGAACCACACACACTTGCGTCCGCAGGAGCCTCTGAGCTGGCAGGGGAGGATTCGGCTTCCGAGGAGGCCAGAGGCGAGTCCAGGCTCAGGTGGGGGCTCTCAGGGGCTCAGCACAGCCGCCAGAGAACCCCACACAGAGGCTGGGCCCCGAGGCACCTGCCCGGGAAGGCGGCTGATGAGCCGGGGCTCAGGGCCTGTCCTCCCACAGAGACCTCACCCCTCTCAGGACCGGGTCCTCGCCGCTGAGTCCCGGGGTTTGTTTTTGCTCAGACGCCTCCCGTGCACCCCACAGATGGTCTGGGAGCTGGGGATGGAAATCCTATGCCCACTCCAACCCCTGCCTGCCCTGCTGTCCCTAGAGGGATGATGAGACTTCCCATCACAGGAGCGCCTCTGCTTGATTTGGAAAAGTGGAAAAGAGAGCAGGAAAAATAGAATCATTCTCTGCTGGGTGTGGGCTGAGGGCTCCTTACATTCTCGCTGTTCTCCTCTCTGGGAGGCACTGAGGACGGCTCCCTGGGAAAGTAGGGGCTTAAGATGATGAGGAACACCAGGCTAAACCCAACAAAGAGGATGAGATGGATGATCTGGGGAACGGGGCTGGGGCACAGCTCTGTATCAATAACACTCAGAGGAAAGAGAATATCCATGTCAGCTGCACTGCTGTCCTCTGGCTACTGAGCCCTGGGCATCCCCTCTGGGAGTATTTATTGGGGCCCAGGCCCACATCACAGAGCTGGGGCCTCCCCCTCACAAAGGGCTCCTAAGGGTGGGTGGGCAGTGGGAGGAGGAGGCTAAATCCCAGCCCTGCCCACCACCACCCACCCCTGCAGTTCCCTTCACCCTCCTGGCCTTCTCAATGTTTCTCAGGGTTTCTCAATGTTGGTCAGGCTGGTCTTGAACTCCTGACCACAAGTGATCCGCCCGCCTCGGCCTCCCAAAGTGCTGGGATTACAGGCATGAGCCACCATGCCTGGCCATTTTTTTAGTTCTTTTAACATACAGTAACTGCTTTGAAGTCTTTGTTTGCTAAGTGTGACATCTAGGGACATGAAGACAGTTTCTATTGACTGGTTCCCTCCACACTTTCCTGTTTTTTTGTCTTGTAACTTATCATTGAACACTGGGTACTTTAGGTTATAGACTGTCTACGCTGGATTCTGATTCTTTTCTCCTGAGAATTGTTGTTACTGTTTTGTTCATTTGTTTGTAACCTGCCTGTACTAAATTTGTAAATTCAGTCAGCAGTGTGTAGCCACAGCCGCCTCTGCTCATTTTTTGTTTGTTTCTGTTCTTATGCATGGCTTCCCAGGAACCGCTCCTTTATCTGCATGCATGGTATTCCGCCAACAGTTGTGTGAATTTGTGCACTAACACCTTGAGTCGGTGAGGCTGATGGATCTCCCCGTGGACTGGGGCGTGCACACAGAGCTCAGGCCATCTGCTTTCCACAGGCATCTCCCCTCGCCATGTCTTCTCTTCACATGCACTCAGGCACCGTCATCAGTCAGGGAAGCTGGGTGGTTTGGGCAGGTTCTGGTCTCTGGGGAGACGAGCAGAGCTACTGGTCCTTCCTGTTTGTTTGCATCAATATCCCTGTTTGAAAATTCTCCAAATCATGTGAGGCCCTCTGGTGGTGACAGCAAAGCTGCTGGTTTCGTGGCGTTCAACAAATGTGTTTTACATTTAGGTCTATGAGCCCGGAGTGGTGGCTCAGGCCTGTGATCCCAGCACTTTGGGAGACTGAGGTGGGTGGATCACCTGAGGTCAGGAGTTCAAGACCAGCCTGGCCAGCATGGTGAAGCCCCATCTCTACTAAAAATACACAAATTAGCCGGGCGTGGTGGCGCATGTCTGTAATCCCAGCTACTCGGGGGGCTGAGGCAGGTGAGTCACTTGAACCCGGGAGGTGGAAGTTGCAGTGAGCTGAGATTATACACAATAAATTAACGATTTAATGCCCATATAATGGAGTGCTGTGAAGCTCTTAAAAAGAATGCCATGAGGCCGGGCGCGGTGGCTCAAGCCTGTAATCCCAGCACTTTGGGAGGCCGAGGCGGGCGGATCACAAGGTCAGGAGATCGAGACCACAGTGAAACCCCGTCTCTACTAAAAATACAAAAAATTAGCCGGGCGCGGTGGCGGGCGCCTGTAGTCCTAGCTACTCAGGAGGCTGAGGCAGGAGAATGGCGTGAACCCAGGAGGCGGAGCTTGCAGTGAGCCGAGATCGCGTCACTGCACTCCAGCCTGGGCGACAGAGTGAGACTCCGTCTCAAAAAAAAAAAAAAACAAACAAAAAGAATGCCATGAGGATGATCAACAAATACTGTTCTCCTGGATGAGGTTTATTACCATCAGCTCCATTTTTCAGATGAGAAAACCGAGACTTAGAGAGGTTACATAATTTTCCAAAGGTCACTCCCTACCGAATGTAGGAGCGGGGATCTGACAGCCACCTGATCACACCCAAGAACAGCATTCTCTCCTCCGCTCTCCTCCATGGCCCCCTGTGACACCCAGGAGACCTCCCCAGCTCTGCAGTCCCCAGGGCCCTGGTGTCCATAACCCGAGGAAGGGGAAGGGCCATGAGATCTTGGGCTTTCTCACTCTCCGAAAATGAGCAAGTGAGAATGAGACTTTGCTTAGAAGTATAAATAAATGCGACATTTATTGCCTATCAGATATGAGAAGCAGTTTCTCTGTTTAACACATGTGTTAGTATCGGTGTCCCTTGTTATTCAAACTCTCCCTATTGAGCTCGAGAATCAAAGTCAGATAACTTTGTCGATAAATCCCTTCCTCTCTGCACCCTTGCTACTCACTGTCTCAAGACCCAAACTCACTGGGACAGGGCGCTGGCCTCCTGATTCTAGCCTGGTGTCTGCCTCTCACTACGCACATTGGGAGCCAGAGAGCAGAGGAGGGGCAGCTGTGAGTGCACAGAGCACACACGTGCGATTGCCCCCACCCCGCCCCCATTATCTCTATGGGTGTGATGATGAGAAACTTTCACCTTTCCAGTGAGCTACTGTGCTGCTTGGACTTTCACAGGCGTGTTTACGTGATGGATTTTTGTAAATACCGCCGTCAGTGGAGGCCTCTTGTCCCCATCTCGGGAACCATAACCCAGATTCCCAAAGGGGAGCTTGCCCTCATGGATGGAAACTGAGGCCCTCAGAGATGCCATCGGCCTTGATCCCTTGCTCCTATTCAAAGATCTCGATGTTACCGGAGATTCCTTGGGGCTGCCGGACATGCCTGCGTTGAGGAAGCGTCCACTCACACGCTGTGGGAACGTTGTAGATTTTACTGTGATGCAAACGCTCACTGTGAGGCCCCCGGTGCCCAGGGCCCATTGTTGGGTGCTTTTGAGGGTGGGAGGTGGAGGCGTTTCCGTTTTGCTTGGGGGATCAGCATCACCCTTCCTTTCTCCTTTTCCTCTGGGCTGGTGCTCAGATGGTGAGAGCACAGTGCTGATGAGGTGGGCCCTGGGGTGGAACCCACGGCCCCCTCTGACCCCCAGGAGACCTGGCCAGCTGCAGCGGCCCCCGCGGACCAGCAGAGAGACAAGAGAGGAGCTGACGTGGAGGAGCCGAGGCCCACTGGGGGCTCCGGAAGAGTCCGTCCGCCTGTGGACAGCAGCTCAGGGCTTCAGCTGCTTCCGGAGAGGAAACACCGCTCCCTAGACTGAGGCATCGTTTTGGTTAAAAAAAAAAAAAAAAAAAAAAAAAGTTGAGTTTTTTCACCTTCATGTAAATTTTTGTTTGTAACAATATGTTAGTTGTGACAGTTACCACTATTTTTTTTTTTTGAAATTATTTTTAGAGATGGGCTTTCGCTATGTTGCCCAGGCTGGTCTCAGACTCCTGGCCTCAGTGGTCCTCCCACCTTGGCCTCCCAAAGTGCTGGGACTACAGGTGTGAGCCGTGGCAGCTGGCCTGTTTTTGTTTATTACTACAGATATTATATGGAGCCTTAAAGCCTCCTGGAGTGAGAGCTAGTTCATAACCACACTGTTTGGAGAGAAGAGAACTAGCTGGAATTCTTATTCTCCAAAGATGTGGAATTATCATCCCAACAACAGCCGTCCCTCACTCTGTCCTGAGGACCCTCAGGTGTGGCCCATCCACCCCCTCAGCGTTTCCCTCTGTCCTTAGTACGCCCAGATGTGGCCCATCCACCCCCTCAGTGTTTCCCTCTGTCCTGGGGCCGCTCAGGTGTGGCCCATCCATCCTCTCAGTGTTTTCCTCTGTCCTGGAGACCCTCAGGTGTGGCCCATTCACCCCCTCAGTGTTTTCCTCTGTCCTGGGGACCCTCAGGTGTGGCCCATCCACCCCCTCAGTGTTTCCCTCTGTCCTTGGTACGCCCGGATGTGGCCCATCCACCCCCTCAGTGTTTCCCACTGTCCTGGGGCTGCTCAGGTGTGGCCCATCCATCCTCTCAGTGTTTCCCTCTATCCTGGGGACCCTCAGGTGTGGCCCATCCACCCCTCAGTGTTTCCCTCTGTCCTGAGGACCCTCAGGTGTGGCCCATCCACCCCCTCAGTGTTTTCCTCTGTCCTGGGGACCCTCAGGTGTGGCACATCCACCCCCTCAGTGTTTTTCTCTGTCCCAGGAACTCTCAGGTGTGGTTCATCCATCCCTTTAGCGTTTCCCTCCAACCTTGGTAAGCTCAGGTGTGACCCGTCCACCCCCTCAGTGTTTCCCTCTGTCCTGGGGACCCTCAGGTGTGGTCCATCCACCCCTCAGTGTTTCCCTCTATCCTGGGGACCCTCAGGTGTGGCCCATCCACCCCCTCAGTGTTTTTCCTCCCACGTTCTCTATGTTTTGTTTCCAATCTTCCCACACAGGTGGAGAGAGGAGGGGATCCCATTGCCTGTGAGGAGGACACGGCTCCTGGGTGGGCCCTGCAGATTGTGAAGTTCAAGTCACAGCTCCTGGGAAGGTCTCTGTGTGTCAAGATCGTGGGGGTGAGACAGATGCAGGGACCACACTGTGCCCTGCTCTGTACCTCTGAGTGTTGATCCAGCTGCCTTGTGACCAGGACACTTAGAAGAACCATAGATCCTGCAAGAGGGCAGGTTTGGAGAGTGAGATGAGCACGCCTGAGGGATTAAAGTGTAACTTGAACCACTGCCTTGCAAACTGCATGAGGATGTGCAGGTGTGTGTGTGTGCTGGGAGGATGTTTAGCAGCCTCATGGAGGGGTAACTGACATACAAGAGAACAAGGCTGGGCGAGGTGGCTCATGCCTGTAATTCCAGCACTTTGGGAGGCCGAGGTGGGTGGATCACCTAAGGTCAGGAGTTTGAGACCAGCCTGACCAACATGGTGAAACCCCGTCTCTATTAAAACTACAAAAAATTAGCCAGGCATTGTGGTGGGTGCCTGTAATCCCAGCTATTCTGGAAGGGTTCCAGATGCCGGGAGCCATGGAAATTATCCTCATCCCGATCATCTGGCTTGGCAAATGATGATGAAGGTAGTTTTCCCCACAAGATAGGCATAGCCTTTGGGACAGTGCCTTGTTTTATTTTCTAGCACAAAATAGGCATTAGAACAGTGGGACTTTGTAGGCATATGGAGATTTTTAAGGTTCCTTAGGAAGTCAGGTAAAAAATTTCTTCAATAAGACAGACAAAACACTATACCCAAAGAAAATGATTGATACATTGG